CGATTTCTTTGAATTTTTCTACTAAGCCCTCGTATGTCTCCACCTTTTTTGTCCCTGTTACTATAGTCCTTGAATTTTACTCGCCAAATACAAGAAAAACTTTCGTATAGAAGAGCAATAAATTTCCGATAACATTACCGAAGGTCCGCCTTTGTTGACCAGAATCATTGAAACTGAGCACAAATTGAATCGGAAAACTGTGCTACCGTCCACACGTTCCGACTTGTCTGCGCAGTTCATCGAAATCTATGCTCTGGAGCTCAGATTTCGATGCAACTGCGCAGTTTTCCCGCCGGCTTCAAAACTGCGCAGTTTTCCCGTCCACACGCAACAATTTAACTGCAACGATTAGAACTTCGCAGACAAATCGTTGTGTAAAACTGAGCGTGTGGACCGGCCTTAAAAAAGTGGCCAGGTGGCTCATTGATGCGCCACCGGTGCCAATGGGTAGTTGTTGGCGGAAGAAGAGCTTTACGGGTAAGGAGGCCATCGGCAGGTTTTAGGTGTGGGATAGGTGGTGCACGCCACCTTTATTTCACCGTTTAAAATCATAGTTACTCCACCTAAGGCATCCGCCGATAGCTATCATAAAAACATAGGTGCTCCACTCTTAATTTTTATTTGGGAGAGAATTCAGCAAAGCGGTGTAGTCAGTCAGCCGTGTAGTACTCGTCATCGGATGTCTAGGATTCCTCAGAGTAAAATATCGAAAAAGTTTCGGCCAACTGAGAAACCCCGTCAGCACTTGATACTGCGGTCCGGAGTGAAGTGGCGAGAAGATATAGTTGCTGGTGGAACTTTCGTTCTGCCGCTAGATTGGCTCCAAGATGGAAATCTTGAAGCAGCAAATTGCTATTAAAAGGACGAAGTTTAGTGGTTGCAAGTTAACAGCATAAGAAACAATAGCGTGGGCAGACAATTTTAATTCGGTTATTGACTTTGCAAATCACTTACGAACAACAAAGCCTTTCCATAATTTTAAAGTAGAATATAATTTCGAAAAGGGAAAAATTCGCTAAAGGCCCTTTGATGAACAAAACAAATAATCAAAACCATTTACAGTCGTTGATATTCGTACGCGAGATTACCTATTCATTTTCATTTTTTCGACATGCAACCGGTGTCATGTGGACATCTGGAGACTGGCAGCCCTTCCGCTTTTTATCACTTCTTCGCTGGTCCCTCGGCTGCCATTTATTCCGGAAATCCAACCTCAACAAAAAATTGAATCTTTGTTCACGTAGACGAACTTGAATGTAGTGAAGCCTCCGTCTTCTTGCTGCGTTGAGTATGATCCGAACCCGTGTTGATCTTTCACCGTCGCCATCAGTGGTCTGAAAGTTATGGCAGTGGTATTCTTCAGGCGCTACTTCTTGGACTATTCGATATCAACTGAGACGCTGAGAGCATTGCGGTTACTTACAGTAAACGCTAAGTTCGCATGTCTTGCTTACTCGTCTCAGAAGTAGCACTATCGGAAGCTACGGTACGGAACAACGGTTACACTTTCTGAGGCCCTTTTCAAGCTCGTTTGTGATTTCAGATTTGACCACTTTTTATTACAACACTTCTCTTTAACTTCACTTCTTGTTTGTCTGTCTGTCTGCTACAAATCTTGTAATCAAAATTTAATACACTTCTACTTATCCTATCGATCTGAAATTTTGCCCACTTGTGTAAAGTTGGAGACAATGCATGAATCAAATGTCAAAATTCATGAACGTAAATATTTGCGTACAGCGATGGCAGTGGTACCATTGGAAAGAGCAGAATTCCAGCTTTCAGATGAGCACAAAAACCGAAAAACGCCAAAATTGAAAATTTTAGGGTAGCCGGTCCCCTTAACGATTGGACTCGCCTGCTGGACAAAAAGGAGCTAGCGGTTGCAGTGTACCGTGATTGTGCCAAAGCATTGGACAGTGTTCCGCATGAGCGGCTGTTGCGTAAAGTGAAGTCTTTGGGGATAGAGTGAAACGTACTGCAATGGATAAGAGATTTTCTAGTAGGTAGACGACAAAGAGTCAGTTTACGGAACCGTGTCAGACTGGGCATCAGTGCGCTGTGGCGTCGTGCCACAAGGAAGCGTTTTGGGCCTATTTTGTTCGTTGCTTTTATAAACGATCTGCCAGAAGCAGTGTCCAGCGTGTGCTCCTTGTATGCCGATGACACAAAAGTTTATAATTCAGTTAATGATGCGTCAAATTAAGTGCAATTGCAAGAAGATCTCGATAATTTAGTTAACTTGGCTGATACGTGACAGCTGCATTTGAACAGCAAGATTACAGTTTGAGAAGACATGGTTGCAACTTGCAACGAGAGGGTAATGATTGAGTAAACTAGCGTGGAAAAAGATTCGGGATTTTATGTTGACAAGAAGCTGAAATTCTCTAGGCATATAGAAATGCAAGCTAATAAACCCGATAAAACTTCTTGGATTGATCGGACGCTCTTTCGAGTTCTTACATAGATGCAGAAACGTTGAAGTTGTTGTTTGTCACTGTCGTGCGCCCCAACCTAGAGTTCGGAAATGCCGTGTGGCCACTGAAACTTGAAAAGGACTAAAGTTTAGTTGAGTGTTCAAAGACGTGCAACCAGGATAATTCCAGGCTTGAAGGGCAAGTCTTGTGAAGAAAGATTAAAGATTATGAAGCTTCCAAACCTCTGTTATCGACGTCGGCGTGTTGGCCTCCTAGAAGTATAGGTATACGGATTCTCATGGTTTATACAAGGTTCAGGGATTACAAGAATTTGAAGCAAGAACCAACACCAGGGGCCACGGTTATAAATTAAAAAACTGCAATGCAACTCATCCCCGCGAGAACACTTCTTGACGCTTCGAGTCACCGACATGTGGAATAGCCTCCCTGATTAGATCGTTGACGCTCCGTGTATGAACACGTTCAAGAATAGACCAGATAAAGCCATGGAAAAATATATGTTCAGACTTGAAATGCCTAGCATCATTTCTAACCCGTTGCAAGTCTAGTAGCTATTTTAAACTATCGTCAGTTTCGAAGACCCGGTCAAAGGACCTGTATTCAGATCTCCTGTGAACAAATCACGAAAAGTACAAGATTCGGCGACAGGCCAAATCAGGCCTATTCTTCGGCGCTGACACCACTATGACATGATATGATTATGATATGGTAATGTGATTAGAGTGTTTCGTCCATAAGCTTCTTATTGCTTTCGTTTCTAAGGACGACTTAAAGTATGAGAAAAATTACAGCTTGGTATCTTAAAACTACATATTGATCGTATTTGCTATTTTCATTTTTATTTAACCAAGCATGGCGGATCATGAGCAGAAGAAATGCGTCCATTTAACACAAATCACAATGATGATACCCGCTCGAAATTTCATACAAGTAACACTAGCAAAACAGCGAAACTATGATTTTTACAATAAAAACAATGCTTTATGATGTAGGAGTACGAGTGCCATCTGGTTTATCCTCACATCCTATCCCCTATATGTTGTAATTACTCGATAAGCTTTTATGTAAATACTTGATGAGCTGCTTGGAAAGTTGCTTTCACCTCCAGCCGTATGGACAAAATGTCCTTTTTTCCTTTTTTCTTCGTATCTTTTAAGCGCATTTTCTCATTTATGGAAAAAAGGCGCTATTGTACTCGCCATGTCCGTCCGTCCGTCTGTCTGTCCGTCCGTGACTTAAAGTTTTCGTCAATGAGAAAATGCGCTCTCTGTCACTCACTGCAGTGAGTTACATTTTTTTTATCTCTAGCGCATGCGTCGCTATTGTCATGAACGGACGGGCTTACTTTTCATTGCAATACTATAAGTAAGTTTTAACTAAAAAATATAAAAGGCCAGTAAACCTTAAATTAAACGACAAATAATTGCCAAACGCAAGCAAGGCCTCTGCATGAAACAATGAGGTTAATCACCGCTCGCTCGACAGAAAAAGGAAACTTCACCATGCACAGAAGCTTCGGCCTTCGCGGGGTGCTATTAGCGCATCGAGGCCTCATTTGCAGGTAATTATTACATGGTGGCAGATTCGATTATCGGTCGCAGTGTTGAAACGAAAGTCTCCATGAACGGACTGCCTGAAGCATCATTGCAGGATGACGCTTGAAAAAATACTACTTGTCATCGTGATCTGTTTGTCTGGAACCGCTGGGCAGATCATTAAAGTCAACGACTCTAACGTGGTTTGTACTCAGTACTGTTTGAACCATTCTTTGTCTTATTTATTTGTTACATAAAAAAATGGAGCGAAGCGAAATGGAAGGAAATGAGCAAGAAGGAAGCCTATCACGTGAATTCCGAAATTTGCTACGATAGTTTTATGAATATATTCATTGATAGTTACTAAAAAGTTGTGCAGTGCTCACATCAGTCTCTGAGATTGTTGATTGATCCAACTGGCGGGGGATTTGAATTGATATTTTGAAGCCCTTCAAGCTTGATGAACTTTAGTGGGGGTGGCCTAAAGCGATCGAGTCGAACAATGGAAATGTGCGTGGCCTAAACCAAAATATCAGGCTAGCTCAGTCTGAGCTGCAGCCTAAAGAAGCTGAATTTATGATTTATTAATTTTAGACCATGTCTGCGGCGTGCTCCAGAAAGAGTAAAATTTAGAAAAACGTGATCATTGTTCGGCAAACAGTAATGATGAAAATTTCAAGGTTCGATCGTAATTTTTTATTACTATTATGACAAAAATGATCGAAAACCTAAAATTCAATGTGTCATGAATTCGATGTAGTAAAAAGCACACTGTTCAAGGAAAACGATTTTCTGTTGCGTGCTTTTGAGAAACTTTTTCGAGGAGTTCTAAAGAATAAAGACTCGAATGAAGGATAATTGTTATTTTTAATATAGGCAGAAGATGCATGCATGGACGCAGTCATTGCTGCATGACCATAACTGAGTTATTTGCGTGTGATGAATGACTGAAATAATTTTGCAGCGATAATATAACGGTTAACACACTTATCATTGTTGTGTTATCATTGTAATTCTTTGCCTTCAGGGTCCTGACTGGCGACGCGATTTCATCCTCAACAACACCAACATCAGCGTAAGTTTCTGATAAAAGACATAAGGACTCGCCTCCGGCCTCCGCAACCTCAACATCAGCGTAAGTTTTTGATATAAGACATAAGGACTCGCCTCCACAACCTCAACATCAGCGTAAGTTTCCGATATAAGACATAAGGACTCGCCTCCACAACCTCAACATCAGCGTAAGTTTCTGATAAAAGACATAAGGACTCGCCTCCGGCCTCCGCAACCTCAACATCAGCGTAAGTTTCTGATAAATGACATAAGGACTCGCCTCCACAACCTCAACATCAGCGTAAGTTTCTGATATAAGACATAAGGACTCGCCTCCACAACCTCAAAATCAGCGTAAGTTTCTGATATAAGACATAAGGACTCGCCTCCACAACCTCAACATCAGCGTAAGTTTCTGATAAATGACATAATGACTGGCTTCCACAACCCCAACGTCAACGTGCAGCCGGAATACCTGACAACATCAACAATATGGACACTAAAAAAGCGTGTGAACGTTCATGTTACATCTCTGATAAGACAGCTAACTATTCAGGAATTATCTTTTTTAATTGCCTTTTATACGAGGAGAAACATGAGCGTAGAACAACGGTTTTCATGAATATTTTCCATGTTTCGCATAAGGTTGCATACATTCTGGTAACGAATGGTTTACTCAGAGTGGTTAGTATAGTCAAAAATAATCATTCATGAAATTAATACAAATAATATTCATAGTTTTCATTTTCAATAATTTAGATGAAAAGGAGCATTCTGAGCAAATTTACTGGCTGACTCTTAATAAATTATCAATTAGTATTGAAGTAAAACTTTATAATAGCCAACATTGGAAATGAAAGCCATAATTTCACAATTCAAAGCTATTTCGGTTAGTCTTGAAAGAAAACACAGTCTACTTAATTGTTGATCCATTGCTGACACCAGAAACTCTATGGCTCACCTAGGATATTCAAATTTTTTCAAACTTTCATATGTATGTTTTTAAATTAATGATCCATTATATTGTACAGCCTTATGAGGCTTATTCCGACGAGCTCGTGTGACCAAAATTGTCAGAGACCCAGAATTTGCCATAGATTGCGATTAAACTAGAACATTAATCCTACTTCAGTTGGAGTCGCTGGTCGTGATTCTGGAAGATGATACTCCATTCATGCAAGAATTGTTTGACCTGTTCGTGGATGAAGAAGAAGAAAAAGAGACTCTGCAGTCAATCTGGCCACCCGGGATATTCAACTGGAAGGCCAACAGCGAAGGCTGGCCAGAAGTCTTGTATAGATTCTACAACGGTGAGCTATAAGGTAGCCCACGGTAAACATGTGTTCTTCAACGGTAAATTCCTCAAAGGTAAACAATCAGTTCTAAAACCTTAAACTGTGAGTTTTACTACTGTTAGTGGCATATAATTCTACAATGTACACAATTGCGTCTGCAACGGTAAACTGTATATTCTAAGACGGTAACCATCACTTTTGCGAAGGTAAACTATTGATTCTAAGACGGTAAATATCACTGTTCTCTAGCGCTAAACTATTATTTCTGCATCTGTGAACTAACAGCTACACAATGTCAACTTCGTCTCTATTTAGCTGAACCTAAATTTCCCATGTCGCTTAAGAACTCAATTTCTCTCACCATCGTTTACTGATGGGTGAATGGTTGATGGGTGCTTATTTTTATCTTGATTTTCACTTTTATTTGCGCGATCAGTTTGTCAACAGTATCCTTTGTCATTGAAGATTAGGAAACATTCCATCCCGTCGGCTATTTGTCGTTATATAGTTCGTAATTCGTTCATAATTCTTACAATGAATTTAGCATAACGTTTTTTCTGCAAGAGCCGTAAGTACTGTCAAAAATAGCTACGCGTATAGAACACCGTTAGGCAATCATTGACGGCTTTTCTAGCAAAACCCACTAATCGCAGACTAAAAATAGACAGTTATGCGTAGTTACACAAGTATAGATAGCACGCCTTCTGGCCAATACAGCAGGTCTTTGGACCTTGAAATAAAGTTCGGTCGACATGCGACCCGCATCATTTGTTGTCAATAACGTGCTGTACATGACGTGCTGTACCGCTCCGGGGCCATATATATATATATATATACTTTCAAAATTCGCTAAGTGAACGTAAGTACTTACGCTCTATTTTATTGTTTATGATTGGTGGATTTTACTTGAAATGACGTTAATGATTGGCTGATAAACTTACGATCTCTTAATTTTTTTTTAAAGTATGGGCCCTGATCACTTTCAGATTAATGAGAGACTCTGCCCAAATATCGATGCACTTTCTACCAGCGCGTGGGTTGTCCTGACTCTGACCCAGTTATGGTACAACAAAGAGGATCATCAGTGCTGCGTGTAGAAAGTGACACTATTTAGACAGAATGACCCATTCACTTTTCTAACATTAATTGTGCGATTAGTGTTGCTAGTGTTGCATTTATTTAAATGGAATCTATTACAGAAATTGGCATGGGAAACATGCAATTCCCTTATTTAATGAAGATTCTTCATAATCAACAAGTAAGAAATTATTTCCTTTCTTTACAAGACACGCATTTGTATCAGCTGTCGAACGATAAAAATAAACAATATACTGATCGGAATTTTCCTTCAATGGAGTTGACTCTCACCGAACTTGATGAAATTTTTTCGTTATCCGAACGATATCACACCGGTGGAAATTTCCAAGGAAACGGTACACAATAATTGTGTCTATCGAATTTTCCTTCAATTGGGTAAACTCTCACTCAACCAGATGACATTTTTTTCGCTTCCCGAACGGTATCACACCGGTGGAAATTTCCCAGGAAACGATGCATAATAACGATTTATTCACAGATAGCATCATAAAACCGGGCATCCTACGCGCCATCGCGCACTGGGAGGAACACACCTGCGTCAAGTTCAGGGATGTTGGAACGGGAGGCGCGTACCCACACGTGGTGTTCCAGTGGAGCGCCAACTACTGTTCATCTAATGTTGGTCGTAAACCAATATCGTTCAGCGGACAGGCTGTGCAGCTCACTACTGGATGTCTTCTAGATGTGAGGGAATTAGAGGCTTTGATGATGATACGAAACAGTCTAGGTGTTTTTTAGCGAAAAAGGATTAGATAATTACCTGGATGCTTCAAAATCAGCAAGATGGTTGGATGTTTAAAAATATACGACGGGCTAACACAGCCTAATAAAAGCTGGCGTTACTGTAGAAAAATTACACTGGCAATTTGACTAATTTGACGGAACTTAATAACAGAATTATGTGGATGCTTCCAAAGATCAGCTAGCTATAACCTTCATGTAGGAGAATGAGAGAATTGAATGGATGCCTCCTTGAATCTACTGCATGTCGCTCAAGTGTCACAAAAATATTCGATATACTAGATATGCTATAGAGTGAGCTGGATTTACTACGTATTCTACAGAATGAGCAGAATTTTCTAGATGTACTATAGGATGAGCACGATTCACTAGATATGCTATAGAGTGAGCAGGATTTACCAGATAGGTATGCTATTGAGTGGCACAATTTACTACATGTACTATAGAATGAGCAGGATTTCCTAGATATGATGAAGAGTGCGCAGGATTTACTGGATATGCTAACCCTAAATGAACTACTAACCTTAAAAAAACCTTATTCAAGTAAAGTTTTCGAATAGGGTTTCAAAGTGATGCTTTAATGCATTAAACGTATAAAGCAACGGTACATCAGATTTAAAATGAAGGCGAGTAAAAATATAATTGAAACGCTGGACAAATTCTTTTGAAAAAAATTTTCAAGCAGCTTTCATCGAACAATGAATTGAAAACGAATCGAAAAAAATTAATACGAGACTACGTGACGAATAAACGGTAAATAATCCAAACATACTAGATGAATATGCAAAAAAAATAATAATAAAATATTTGAAATCGAAGGACACGCCATGTAAATTCCCTATATCTTTATCAAAGATTTCTTGAAGATAATTTACAACATCTTCTCAATCAGCACGTAATGGAAGAACCTTCTCCATGAAACCCCATACCTCGTGAAAAAAATTCTTGGCCTATACCTCGTGAAAAAATTCTTGGCCTAAACCTCGTAAAAATATTCCAGGTTGGTGTAGTGATCCATGAGATCGGGCACGCGCTGGGGCTGTGGCACCAGCAGACGCGCCACGACCGCGAATATAACGTCAAAGTCATCTTCGGCAATATGGCCTTCTCCAACATCTTCAACAACTTCCCCTTAATCACCGAGAACTACGGCGTGCCTTACGACTACACGTCCATCATGCACTACGATACTCTGGTACGTCCATCATGCACTACAATACTCTGGTACGTCCATCATGCACTACGATACTCTGGTACGTCCATCATGCACTACGATACTCTGGTACGTCCATCATGCACTACGATACTCTGGTACGTCTATTTACGATACTCTGGTACGTCCATCATGCATTACGATACTCTGGTACGTCCATCATGCACTACGGCGAGTCTCCATACTGGGGCAAGTCTTCAAAAACGTTAAATGAGGAGTAAGACGTCAGTTGAGTGACGGAAAACTAGCAAGTGTGTAAATGTTGGATGATTGGCATTAATTATTTGAGAGTTTTCTCAAATAATGCGATGTTAACCGAGTTGTAATCGTGAGCTTTTTGATTCCTTGAACTGTGCATGTGTAATATACAAGGTTATTCTAAATGATGGACCCAATTTAATAAATTCGTATTTATTTCAGTATTAATTCAAAATGAATAATTTAAACACCAATGGAAAGAGAATGATTCAATGTTTTTTCTTACACTTGGAGGTTATGTATGTCCCATTGGCATCTTCATGTGCGAAACTTTTTGAATTAGTCACTTCCTGAGCGTTGGGTATGACACATAGGAAATGAAGATCAGACCCTACTCTTCTGGCCACCGCGATCACTTGATCGCTCCCCATGTGACTATTTCTTGTGGGGTTACGTCAAGGAAGCTGTTTACGTCCTGCCTCTACCAGCAACTCTGTTTACGTCCCGCCTCTACCAGCAACTCTTTTAACGTCCTGCCTCTACCAGCAACTTTGTTAAGGCTCTCGCCTCTACCAGCAACTCTGGTTGATCTGAAGAACCGTATCACTGCTACGGTGCACTCAGTAACAGAAGATATGCTTTCTCATGTGGGACGAGTTTGGCTACCGTTTAGGCGTTTGCTGTGCAGCACAGAGGTGCTAAGAATAATAATAATAATTGAACATTTATAAAAAAGTAAAAAAATTCGAAGCTTCATCTTTTCGTTAGTGTATAATCTATTTAATTTGAATTCATACTTGAACTAATACGAATTTATTAAATTTGGTCCATTATTTAGAATAACCCGACAGAACAGAGTAACCCAGATTACAGTTCGAAATAATTGTGGAAAACGTACATATTGTATGACCCACTATTTATGCATATTTGGGGTATGATAAACCTCCTGGATTAGTTAAATGGATATTACAATGCCTAATTTGATGATATTTACAGGGGTTCAGCACAGGTAACAGCGTCCTAGTGACCAGGAACGTCATGGCTCAGGGGCTGATCGGTAACAGGAAAGGACTCTCTCACATGGACAAGAAAATTGTCAACATTCAGTACGGCTGCATCGGTGAGTAACGCATGAAATGAAAACAATAACTACTTTTAGCTAGCATTAACTAGTTTTAACTATCAGGAAATTTTAGCTAGCATAAACTAGTTTTAACTAGCAGGAAGTTTTAGCTAGCATTTACTTGCTTGGACTAGCATTAACCAGCGGTACTATTCATGGATTATCAGTAACACAAAAGGATCAGTTCAAGTATTCACCTTGCGCGAATTGGTATAGTTACTTGAACGTTAATATTGCAATCGAACGCTTCATTAACAAAAGAATTTGCTTACAAAATAGCAATGCATCAAATCGGTCAAGACAACACTTCTTCATCAACACTTCATCAAGACAACACTTCTAAAGAATCCAGTGTCGCTCCAATGTTACAGATTTACAATGAATTACTAATTTTATTTTCGGATATTAAAAAAATGAAATTTTCAAATATGTTCAATATTAAAAAAAAATAAATATTCGAAATTATTTATTCTGTCCATTGATTCATGCATTGTCTCCAAATTTACGCAAGTCTGAAAAATTTCAGATCGATTGGTGAGGTAGAAGTGTGTTGAATATCGATTATAAGATATGTAGCAGACAGACAAACAAACTAACAACAAGAAGTGAAGTTAAAGAGAAGTGTTGTTAAAAAAATATACGTTTAAAAATTACTTTTTAAAGACAACACTTCCAAAGAATCCAGTGTCTCCAATCTTACAGATGTACAATGAATTTCTCATTTAATTTTCGAATATAAAAAAAATTAAATTTTCAATTTTTTTAATATATAACTTTTTTTTAATATATAAATTTTTTCAAGATTATTTATTCTATTAATTGATTCATGCATTGCCTCTGACTTCACACAAGTGTGCCAAATTTAAGATCAATTAGACAGGTAAAAGTGTGTCAAATATCAGTTATAAGATTTGTAGCTGACAAAAATAAATTTTTTTTTCAATGTTTTTAATATTGAAAAAAATTGTTATTTTAATTTTTAAAATAATTTATTTTGACATTTGATTCATGCATTGTCTCCAACTTTACACAAGTGTGCAAAATTTCAGATCGATAGGATAAGTAGAAGTGTATTAAATTTCGATTACAAGATTTGTAGCAGACAGACAAACAAACAAACAACAAGAAGTGAAGTCAAAGAGAAGTGTTGTAAAAAAAATTGATCTCAAATTATAATATTTAACTCGACCGTTTAAATTCATCTAATTTCACCATAATTATCATTGACCAGACAAGTGGCTGGAGGCGTGTTCGCAGAGCTCAGATCCGTGCTTAAATTTCGGCTACTTTGGTTCGGACTGCAAGTGTGTGTGTCCAGACGGCACGACAGGCGAGCGGTGTCAGGTCAAGGAGATGGACTACACAGGCAAGTGCGATGACTTTGAATAGCATGATGAATGATGAATTACTTTACGAAGATTTTAAACCGGGGGACAATGCATGCGGGAATCGACGGCCGAATAATTTAATGCATAAAACGCAGATCAGACTTTCAGGTGATGTATCATAACTCTCTCTTGATTTATCGCGAAATTACTCTTTTTATACAATTTAACAGTTGTCAGCTCCTAATTCATTACTTAATTTCCATCAAGCAGCAAATAGGCCAAATAATTGAATTGATTTTGTAACGATGGGCATTGACTTTCAAGAGCAGCTTACTTCTGTTCATATAGGTACATTGGTCATTAAATACGTCAGAAGTTGAATTAAAATTAACGAATTTTAATTCAACGTCTGTGCTCACGCACAGACGCCATGATAGCCGAGCGCCTGCCCCACAACAGCGACGTTACCACAGCGGGGACGGTGTCCACCCCCAATTATCCTACGCCGCTCAACGAAGGTAACCACGGTTACTGTTAGACATTTATAAGGATCTGTTAACCAGAGTTACCGCCAGTAGATAAAGAGATAATCTTTTAACTACGCAGACGTGATAAATCACGTTGCTATTTGTAACTGGAAACCGTAAATGGAGATACCGCCTGTAGACGCAATGCCTATTGAAAATTTTACGAGTTATTTACTCGTTAAATTTAACCTTGCAAAAGGATTTATTATTAAAAATAAATATTATATTATTAAATAATAAAGACAAAATGTGATATTATTGAATAATAAATACTAAATTTAATATTAATAAATAATAAATTTAACATAGCGAAATGATTTATATATTGTGTATAGATGCATTAACCCTCCCAAATGTTATTTTTATCTAAAGGCTTGGTAACGAGATTAACTGTAGCCAGCTGAAGTATTGTTCCTCTGCACTTGCCACGCGAAATGTTAATAATGGCTATGTTTCGTACTTGCATTTGTCCCGATACGATAGTCATTAGAATTTTGTCGGAAAGCTCCAGCAGAATATCGATGAGTTTACCTGAAAATTATTTAAAGTCTAGTAAATGAGTTAACCTAAGGAACGTCAAGTCCACCGAACTTGATGACGATCCCACCAAGAAATAGTAGTAAATTTTCGAGATGAAATGTACTGTGTAAACTCTATTAGCGATTCTCAAAAAGGATACTAGTAAAAAACATCCTGCTTTTACACACGAAGAAACTATGGTATACTAACTAATGAAACAGTTTTCTCGAGAACGAATAAAGCAACCGATTGGGACATTTTTTCGACCATAAAATTTTGGTGTTTCCCAGGTGGGCGGTACACGACGCGCATCACAGCGCCCGCAGGCAAGAAAGTCTCCTTGAAGTTCAACGCGTTTGATCTTGCGGACAGATGTAGTAGAACTGGTGGAAATATATGCTGCTTAGATGGACTTGAAATACGTCTGAACGGCCTCACATCCGGGACGTGGTGAGGAAATAAGCGGAGAAGTCGCTGAATTTTGACAATTTTACAGATTAGCCTTACGAAACTGAAAATAATATCAACCGCGTCAATGATGAGTTTCAATTCAATATTTCCGTTAGCGGTAGCTCAATAAAAGAAGATGTCAGTAAAAATGAATGTTTTTCACGCAGGTACTGTGGGAAAGAAATAGCAGCAGGGACCGAGTTCACGAGTGCCGGTAATGAACTCGTGCTGTACTTCTCAGGCCTGAACTACACAGACTACTCCTTCATGACGGAACACACAGGCTACAGCGCTGAAGTAACTTTCGTCTGAAGGAACAAATTCAGTCATAAAAAGCCAAAGAACCAGAGGAAAAAACAATTTAATGAAACAAAATTGTACAGAAAATAATGAGAGCATTTCAAAATTCAGTGATACAATAGTTTCTCCTAGTGAAATTACGCACAACATAGGATAGGTAGACATTTCATGATTCAATCCCGCAATAATGTCAATAATTCGATATCCCCACAGGTGAATAAATGCATTTCCCTCAAATCTGTGTAAGAAAAAGATAGCCCAGGATTTAAAATGTCTTCTGTGCATGCATAAAATGCAAGTTATATAAAAAAATACAATTTTAATTCGTGAGTTTAACATCCTCTGACAATTTAGCTTTTATGATCCTACTTTCTCTATTGTTCTACAATTGCTATGCAATGCAAAGTTAAGATCCAACAGTTATTTCACTTCTTATAGTAAAAATCTGGAAAGAAATACAAACTTTTGCGAGAGGACCACGGTGCTAGCGGCATAAAAATTCCATGAAAACATGGACATCGTGATAACCTTGGATAAATTAAACTGATTGGTGTAAATTATATAAAATTTATATTTATAATATATAAATCAATCCCTCAATTAGGACCAAGAAAACCGTAATTTTGAATTTAGCCCCAGGTTAGCTTCGAGTCGCATCATAACCTGATTAGGATACGTCGTTGTGACAATAAACTTCATTGTGGGAATTGAAGCAGTGCACTTCTCAATTGCATGCAATGAACCCCCAGTTTTGTCTAGCCGTGTGATGCATGTACACAAATCTTTATAGTTGAAAACAAGATCATTGCATCATTACGGTTATTACCTACGGATCATGGAACAAAATACATACTTTCATATCAAACAATTAATTTGAATGAGAATGAACACCATGTGAAATAGAAATGACAAGATTTAGTTCTTTTTCCCAGCCTTCAGAGAGGAATTAATGACTACATGATACGAACTGAAAGTTCTTCCTAAGATCCCAATTAGCCATGGAATGGATTTGCATGCATACATACGGTAAGTTATAAGCTTTACAATATATAATAGAAGGATATAAAAGAAGGAAAACCGAAATAATCAGCATGTTACTCTCACAAATGAAACTCTCAAGCTTCTATTTGATTCCTGGACTATATGATGCAAGGGTAATGATAGGTAGTACCAAATATCACAGTTGTTGAGTGCTACATCCCACACATATTATTAAAAATCAGATAACAAAACATTTAGAGAGCTGCACAAACAATAACTCCCATTTTAGAAGTAAATCACACAAATGATTTAAATTGATTTACAACTAAAACATAATTGTCCATTAATGCAAGACTTTTAATGCACAAATCGCAAAATTAATTAAATTAAATTGAAACACCACCAAAGCACTTTGATCAATACCAACATTATTGATTAAAACAATAAGCGTGCACATAGCCTGTTCAAACATAGTGGGGGGAATTTCTAGAACATGTTGAATATGGCGAGTCAACAAAAACAAAGTTGATCTTATAATTTTTTAAATGGAACAAGAAGTTAATACAAGCTATTTTTGCTTTACAAGACCCTGCATTTGAATTACTTAGTATACCATACCTATGTCATGTTTGTGGATAAACACATACCTAAGGATAATTAGTAAAATAATCAATACATGTGATAATTTATATGCAAAGTATTGACTATCCACAAAAAGTGACATTTTTATTTTGTAAGGAAAAAATATTTGTATGAACTATGATAAATAATTAGGAATGCATGTTTCTAGTTGCCAAGGTTGTCCACTAAAGGAAAATTTCAGCTTCCATGATAATTGATGCAATTTTATTTATGCATCCTTACAGCCAATGTAGGAAACATCCTTGCCAGTCTTCTTCAGTGTTTCAGTGAGTTCTTCAGCAGACAGGCTTGCTGAAGTGACGTAAACTTTCTTGTTTGGCAGGTCAATGTCAACTTTGGAGACCTTATCTGAAACAATAGTTTACAATGCAATTTTTTGCATTTCTGACACATTTTAAAGTGAAAGAAATATGAATTTATTCAAATTAATGTCATTATAAAGATATTCTAAAACAGGCAAATGCATTCATTCTAAAACACATTCTTCATTTGATCCCATGGGTACCTTATTTTTTGAATGAAAAGCATAGATGTGCATAAAAGATTCTGATACTGAGGGAAATGCAGGATGATAGAAAAAGGATGAGAATTTTGTAACAATGAAAGTTTTAACAGAAATATTTAAAAATTATTTAAGAAACAAGAACTTTTTCATTTCTAGTGCAACACTGCATTCTGGTTTACAAAAACAGAAAATTAATGTAATAAATCCTTTGAAGTCATACCTCCAAGCTTGCCAAGGACTCGCTGAGCTGCACCAGAACAGCCTTCACAGGTCATTGCAACGTCAAACTCATAAACCTGAAAAAAGCATGACAAAAAAGTTATATCTATTCACAAAAAATGAAAAAACCTTCGTGGCAAAGAATAAATTCCTGAAAAATTATGCATTCACTTAGTATAGAAATAGATTGGGTAATGATCAGCTGTTCTATGAGGAAAGGTTTTAATGTTTACATAGTGGAGGAGAACTATGCTCATAAAAATATCCAAGATTTTTCAAGGGATAAACAGGGTCAGGTATAACAATCCTTACAGGGCTGAACCAAATGAGTCTAATTGTTTTGACCTCAAAACAAGCTTTCACAGAACAGGTACAAGGATTTAAATTCTCTACAAAACTGTGATGGCTTGGATTTAAAAAGTTAAATTTTGCACAGTTGCTTTAACAAAAGTGAGGTTGAATAAACAAATTCCAGTCATGATAAGCAGACATACCTACTCTATTAAGCTCAATGATACCACTAGAGTCTAGACATTAAATCAGTTCAAGATTATTATAAACAGTGTATTATCATTCTGACCCACCTATTGGTTTTTACTGCTAACATTGCTATAGTTTACCAATTTTTTTGGTAATGAATTCACCACTGTAGTTAAGCTATTCTATGGTATACACAATTTTTATATAATTACAGATATTTGTAAGTATCACATAATATCTGAAGATCTTTGGCAATTGGCAGCAAGATCTTTGCCACATTCTAATGCCAATGGCAATCTGCCTATAGAATTTAGGAGCATACTGACAGAAATACTGAAATAGGAGTGCACAACCTGGAAAAGTAGCAGATGCCCTGGGCCCTGGCAGGATTGGAATTTTTCTACTTGTTTCTGAAATTTTGGGGCTCCAACGTGACAAATTTTTAATACAATTGGAATCTCATGGCTTTATTGTGCACTTTTGTTAACAATTAGTTAGGAGGTGTAATTCATCTGGCAGAAATCTCGCGGTTCTGGAAATGGCAGGAAAGTTCTAGTCGTGGCCCTAAAGGTAGACGTTTTTCCCGCTTGGGCCCTGGCTGACTGCAGTGCAGCATCACAGCAACAAAATTACTGTCATTTCCTTTACATGTATCACTCTTGTAGTAGTAGTGCATTCAAATTAGACCCTCCGGGTCCCTCCCTGTGCAGTGTGCTCAACTTGGATGGTATTATACCATCCATACCATTGGTATATGAAGCTATTCCACAATTCACTTATAGGTAAACGTGGTATATTCCGACATCGTAGGTAATTCCGTCACTTCTCTAGTTTTTTCTTTATATTAAGCTTTGTTTTAGTTCCATGCGTTCATTGATGGTTGAAATGGTGACGTCATACATTTGCGTGTCGAAATACTGCAAAAACACTAGGTCTTGGCCATCTAGTGGGAAAATATTGAGATCCAAAGAGAGACAATTACTAGATGGCCAAGACCTAGTGTTTTGGCAGTATTTTGACTCGCAAATGCATGACGTCACCATTTCAACCATCAACAAACGCATGGAACTAAAACAAAGCTTAATATAAAGGAAAAGCTGGAGACGTGACGTAATTACCTACAATGTCGGAATATACCGCGTTTACCCTAAGTAGACCAGTAAACTGTAAAGTATCATGGATACCAGCATTATCATACTTAAGAAATTGGTTTAAATCTTGAGTTTTTGAGGAAATTAAAAATGAACTGATTCCAAAAAAGCTCTGGTTTGCCACAGTGCCACTATGATCCCCAACTACCTCAAGCTCAAGGCTCAACCACTCAAGGAAATTCTACCCTGAACTGAACATAGCAAACTGAAGTAGAGGTCATAATGACCACTACAATTATCTACTGTCAATGCCCAAGCATTGCTACAGTACTTAGTTATGTTGCCAGTGGCCAGCCTTCAATAGGATTTAAGTAATAATAAGATTTCTCTACTTATTAAAACTGAGCCACAAGTTCAAGTTGAAGTTTCTAGTGTAATCAACCTAACTAGAAAATTTGGCAGATGCAACCAGTAAATTAGACAAAAATGCCAGTAAAACTGACCAATTTCACTTGTTCCTTTTCCTTTTCCCAAATTCTCCAGTAAAAAAAAAAGAAAAATCACATACCTATTTGAACCCACAATTTTTTCAAATCACCAGTCACCTGTGAATTGAAAGTGAAACCATTGTTTTGACTGTGAATTTAAAGGCTAGACATGGCCCAGTGCCATTTCTAGTGTATAATATATAAATACAGTATAGCGTATGATTAAAATTAATAATAGGTAGCTACGTTGCTTACCGTAGCCGGTAGCCCAAAGCCTAAAAAGGCTAAATCCCTAAAACTGTAGTAAAAATTAAATGAAACCATAATTGCTAGTTTTCTATTAGTTCTGTGAAACTTACTTTTGCCATTTTTGGGTGATAGATAGTCAAGGATTTGAGGAAAATACACAAGACAGTAGTGTTACTGTGTTAGGAAATAACTGAGCGCTTATTCCTCTTTCCAGTCTTAAGACGACCGCCAACAAGTTAACAACAAGCTACAGGCTACAGCTGCTTTGTTGGAACTTTGATGACGATTTGGTTACTAAGCAATTAGACCAGGACCAGCAATCGTACGTGAGCGCGGAAAGTTCGAAACTAGTGAGCACAGTATCGACTATCGAGATATAAATAAAATACGTATTGAAAAATCGCGCAGTACGAGAAAGAATTCTTTGTATACATACAGTTATCACTGTCCTGTTGATGTAGAAGTGAAAATCGCACAATACGCTATTCAAGCTCATAAGTTAAAAATTTAAATTAATTTAATCTCCATGTGCACATAAAGCAAGTGAAAATAGCCTAAAATTTGCATAACAGAATGATAATGATTGGCTTAAAATAAATTTTCAAAGCTTTTTTTAAACAATTGTGTATTTTGAGAGTTGCAGGTCGATTCCGCTTGTGGCACATCCATTATTCATACGATTAATCGATGGGAATATCTATCACTTTCGTTAGCACAATGAGCTACAAATAAATTAGTTGCATTAAACTCAAACAATATCATTTTACTCCTCTTTTAACACTCACTGACACCTACAGTGAAGGTAAACTGTCTTAAAATGCTTAGCACCTTACGGACCAGGCAATAAGTCCATCAGCTATCTCAATCAATTCGTCAGCTACTACGGAAAGATCGAGTTCCAATGACCGGATCCCCTGTGAATCAAGTCACAAAAAGTACAAGAATCGGCAACAGGCCATGGGCCTATTTCTTCAGTGCCGACACTTCTATTCTATTAAATAAATAACAAAGACACGGTTATGTCAGCAGTTGATACCTGTGTACCTAAGATTACGCTTGGAGGAGTCAAAAAGTCCCAGTGGATTAACAGTGCAGTTAAGGCTCAGCTAAAGACCAAGAAAGAAGCCAAGCGTTATTTACGAACTCGCTGCGATTCTGATTATAACCTGTATGCAAGAGCTCAAAATCAATCTAAAAAAGTTTGTCGTACTCCAGTGAAAAACTTCGAAAAAAATATTGCTAAAATGCAAAATAGAATCCGAAAGCCTTCTTTTTATACGCTAGTTCGAAGTGTAAGCAGAGCTGGGCAGCGCTACTTTGAAATGTAGCGGCCGCTGCCGCTACCGCTACATGCTCTAAATGTAGAATAGAATAGAATAGAAGTGTCGGCGTTGAAGAAATAGGCCCATGGCCTGTTGCCGATTCTTGAACTTTTCGTGACTTGATTCACAAGGGATCCGGCCTTTGGAACCCGATCTTTCTATAGCTGACGATTGATTGAGATAGCTGCTGGACTTATTGCCTGATCCTGAAATCTCTAAATATTTATTGTTCTGCTATTGGGATTTACTTATAAACATTTAATGATAATAAAACATTTTCAAAACATATCAATGCCACTTTATTGCACTAAACCAAACCGAAATAGTACGGGTTAGATACAGTAAATAAAAGTTAGTTATTTTTATGTTTTACCTTCCCTACATGGATGTCTACTTCAATCTACCAATCTCAAAAATTATCCACATACTGTATTCATATAAAAAATCAGTCTTTTATTTGTATATATATGTGGATCATTTTTTAGATTGGTACATGTGGCGCGCTACTGCCCACCTCTGGTATTTGGTATATTAAGGTTCAATAATGATGGGCGGAACGTATGTTTCAAATGTATAGGACACTTAAGGCTATGGGATACAAAAATTTAGAAATCGGAAATACTTTAGCTTAATTAGGCTAAAAACTCGAGTAAGAACGCATCAAGGGGCTACGGCGTAATGTATGCAAAAAAGATGACGCGGTATCCATGGAAAGTGCGTTGAAATTATGAGAAAGGCAACATGTCTAAAAGATTAGGTATGGACTATGGACTCTAGAAAAGAAACAGTGAAGAAGAAACTTCTTAACCCTTAAGGTTAAGATCTTAACCTTTACTCGAGATCGAAAAACACCACATTGCCCCTACACCGCATTGCATCCAGATACCACATTGCATCCATATACCTACCACCCACATTGCATCCATATACCTACCACCCACATTGCATCCATATACCACATTGCATCCATATGCCACATTGCATCCATTTACCACATTGCATCCAGATACCACATTGAATCCATATACCACATTGCATCCAGATACCACATTGCATCCAGATACCACATTGCATCCAGATACCACATTGCATCCATATACCACATTGCATTATACCACATTGCATCCATACCACATTGCATCCATACCACATTGCATCCATACCACATTGCATCCATACCACATTGCATCCATACCACATAGCCGACATTTATTCACATAAAAATGTTAAGGAACAAATCTGGCCGGTGGGGGGCAGAGGAACGTAGGCGGTGAGGGGGGAGGGAGGGAGGCCAGGGTGTGGGGCACCGCCAGAGAGCGCCGCGGTGTTGTGCTCATGCTGATGCAGTCGTTCAAAGTCTTCTGAAATATGGAATTAAACTCAAAGTTTATTGTCTAAACAATTGAATTCAAGAACATTATTACTGCCATGATATAATTAGCTAATATTATATAGTGTCGGAACGACGCGAATACGACAACACAACGAAAATTGTTTGAAACCAAGATCGTTTTTCAGCGCACTCAAGGCAATTGGTCAAGTAATTAAGATACATCAAGAAGGCAAGTTAAGAATTAAATATGATTACCGCTTCTATCTCCTTAAGGCTTACTTATCCACTTTTCGAAGCGTTCATGCTATTAGAACTCAAATAAAACTTTTAAATATAAAATATTATAACTTTTTAGAAATAAAAGTTGTGTAATAACCTGCCGAGCAGCGAGTTGTGGTGGCAGGAGCTGGCGGGACGGTGAGTACAAGATATGACTGTAGCCTGGGGACACGGCGGCTGACGGGTACAAGTACGGACCAAAATTATTTCCCGAGGGAACTGGGGGAAAGTTGGCGGAAGAGTTTATAGGGATATTCCTGGAGTTACTGATCATATTTGGGGAGACATTTTCTGCGTCATTGATGTAATTTTTGGGGTAGTTTTCAGTTTTGCCGAATGAGTCTAACTGGAAGTTACCACTTGAATTGAATGAGTATTGAAGATAATTTTGATCATTGTTAGCATAGGGATGAAAGAGTGGGTTGCCAGGGGAGGGGAAGGAGGAGAGGTGCTGGTATGGGGGTGGGGGCATGTCGTGAGGAGCCCCGTGGGGTCGGGGCCCGGGGTGCGGGCTGGGGGAGTCGTGGTGTCGGGCGAAGTCCACGACACTGCGTCCGCAGTCTTCCTGCGCCCCCTGCACGTGACCTGCGCCGTCAAGTGCAGGCAGTCAACGTCGTGTAGATATTTATATGAATAATTAATACAATAATTATATAATAATATAATGAATTTAATAATAATATAATAATAATTTATATGAATAATTAATGACCCTGTAACCCTGCACGTGACCTGCGCCGTGGAGTGCCGGCCGTCATACGTCATGTGAATACGTCATACGTCATATGAATAATGAATACAATAATTATATAATAATATAATGAATATATTAATAATTTATATGAATAGTGAATACAATAATTATATAAAAATAATATAATAAATATAATAATATTTTATATGAATAGTGAATGATGTATTGTAAACATGCACGTGACTTCAGAAATATTGCCCATTACTCCTGCAGAACAGTGAATAGACGAGGGGAATCCTGGACACGACTAGCGTAGTGCGGTACGTGATAGACAAGTATCTCGTGCTGGTGGAAATATGATGGTGGTAATATGGAGCTATAATAACTATGAAAAGTTTATAAGTACATAGTGGTAATAACTATATTTCGATGGCGTTTAACATAGGATACGACCTGGAGCTGAGTACAGGGCACTCCAGCTGTTCAATTAATGAACGTTGTCACGTTATCTCAATGAGTAAATTCTGCCAAACATGCCTTATGAATGAAAGTAATTCTTAAAATATGGTAGTGAAAGTAAAGTATAATTTGCTTTAAGGAACTTGCAACTAAAACTCACCAAGTAGCAGGTCTAGTATCAGTGTTTATTAGAACTGTGCAAGTGACAGTCGAGCGAAGGGAAATTAGGGTTAGGGTCTAATCCTATGTAACCCTAGATAGGGTTCTAACCATTAGGTAACTTGAACAGAGGCAAATTGTCGCTGTCAATCAGTTGTTAAACCGTTAGACAAATTATCGAAGGCGACAATCTACCTTTATTCAAGTCCAGCGCGTTCAATAAAATCAAGTAATAGTCATTTAAAAGCGTAAGTAGCGCGCGAGAAGCAGTTAGGAACTGCAGATCAGAAATATACCAGCTGTTCGTGAGTAGGATGCTAACTCCGTCAACAAACGAAAAACTTAATAGTTATTGCACTTATTCTAGAGAAAAACTATAAGGAATTATTGTCTTTTTATTCATAACGGTATTCTTGCACGAACCATGTAATTACCCAGGCAGTGTAATGTCGAATTAACTGTAACCTTACAGTCGAAACATGGTCATCTTAAATTTAGTCGTTGAGTCTGCTATCTTTGAAAAGGGTTCAATTAATATTTCCCTTGTAGTATATAATCAATGCAAAGTATATTTCTGAAATAAATTGTATTAAGTCGCATTCCTATAATTTTTCTCCAAAAAATATATAATAGTGATTGAGATTTGAAAATAATTTCTAATTAAGGCTAGTCAATCTCATCATTTCGAGGAAACAGGATCGACCGCGATCTCCAGGCTTCATTCCGCGCTAATGGATCTTGTCGGGACATTGTATCGTCCTTGCGCGCCTTTTGAAGCGCAACCCTGGACCCTTGAAACTCTGCCTGACCTTGACCTCAAGCGGCTGACTCACTGCCTAAAATGAAAAATGAATGAAACGCAAGGTGACACTTCATGCAATAAGACTTGCTTCTAAACCTTGCCGGATTGAATAGGTACAATTGTGCCTGCGCTGTAGGTACAATTGTAACGTTGTAAATTCATGTAGCCGGACGAGGGTGGAACACGCAGTTATAAATTATTTGGAGGCTTGATTAAGTGTTTTTGTACTAGTTGCATGAGGATTAACATTAGCTCATTATTGAGCCAGAAGAATCATTTCAGTAGGACTTCAGAGCAACCAAAATCGGTTTAGGATGTACCCAAATGCATAGAAATTTTCTAGAACGCACGTCAGCGTCATTCGAACGTAGTCTATCGATTACGAACTTGTTTTTCGTCGGAAACGATTATTCAATTAATAACTTAAGTACATTTATAGTTTTGCTAATGTACTTTGTAAAATCTACTTCAGCGCCATTATGCAAAATTTCGGGTGGACTGTGAAAATTTAAATTTTCAAAATAAAGAAAACTATTCGGGTGGACTGTGGAAATTTCAATTTTTAAAATAAAGACAAGTATAACGCTCACCTGTGTAACCCGTAACGAATCTCATGGGTTCTTCGCAGTGTTGAAATATACAAAAACCAACATCCAGTTTATGATGTTCCAACATGTGCCATATTGTTCAATTATTCAACTCGTTGGTCTCACAATGACTCCTATATTTTCAGTGCATCACGAAACTATTGTTTATCCAGTGAATCTTTAACTATATAAATCTTCATTTCCCAATCAAAGTGATTCAGATCTGATGGTGTTGAAGTAGCATAAAGCAAATTGGAGTGTTCTGTTAGTAAACTAATAACAAAGATAGGATGTTTGTTATTAGTTTAAACAAACAATTCTAGCAATTTCAACATTAAGTTTAAATTCATCTTATAACATCAAAATAAACTGCAACAATATTCTCGACAATCGTGCAACTGCAAAGCTGATTAAACTGGAAACATCGGAAAGATGAAACCAAAAGGAAGAAGTTCACACGCAAGCCGTTTGCTAGAACAATGCTGCTGCGTGCCTAGAATTAAGCAGCATTTTGTAGGTACAAGGTCAGCATTATAATATTGCTTCTATATCCCTCAGACAATGCACGCAAGCGTTGCAACGAGAACAGTAACAACTTGGACATGACCACAACAGATTAAGAGAACAAATAAAAACAATAATACAGAATAGGCCAAGCCGTGATAAATAAAAAGGATGATTTGTTAAATGAGGAGCGAAGTCGTGATCTTCGTTATCATTACGCGGCTAGGGATGGAAAATTGCAGGTGAATTAATTGCCTGTGAGGACGACAGACCTGACACCGAAAGAAGGTAAACGAGGGATGAACACCAAATGAAAGTGAACGATAGAAACTATTTCCGTGTACACACAATACGTACACAGTAATAAGGAACATTCCGGTCATGGCCTTCATAGGAACAATCTAAAAGTCAAAAAACAGTAACGGGCATTTACCAGTCCAGACTGGGAGATAAATAATAAAAACTCATGGAAGTTAAATTATTAATTAATATTGGGCGAGGTGAGATGAATTTAGCGTTCATCAAATGTAAACAATCTGAATATAATATATGAGATAGTGAACTTTTCAATATAATTGATTTTTCACAAAACGTACAGGAAACACATAGTTCAAACGTTTCAATAGCTCGAAATAGTTTCTATGCTTCACTATTCAGTCACTGGTTTGACCGAAGGTTTGCCAATCACCGTCCGCTTTCAAAATTCAACTCACTTTGGAGCGACTGGCTATATAGGAAAAGTACCAAATATTAAATTAGAACTGAAAGTTCTATCAACACAGTATTTAAAAAAATATAACTCAGTACTCACTGCAGTGAGTGACAGAGCGCGCATTTTCTCGTCGACGAAAACGTGAAGTCACGGACGGACAGACAGACAGACAGACGGACGGACAAGCCGAGCACAATAGTGCATTTTTTCCATAAATGAGAAAATGCGCTAAAAAATATTGGACATATATGATAAAAATTAGAGGAAATGGAAAAACCCTTGTACTTAACTAAAACTGTACTGATAAATATAAGTATAAAATAAAGTGACGGCGCATGAAGCACCTAAGTCTCAGAGACGGCAAGGGAGGCGCAATGCAGCCTCTACGACTCACCGGGAGCAACTGAAGAGACTTGCCGAGGCAGTGTCACTAGCAATACAAAGCTTGTATTGTAACCTTGTTATAGATTAACTACGGCTGAATACATGCAAGCGAAGCGTAATCAGGCCTACTTTAATTCTCGAGTTTGAGATGGCATTTAGTTACAATGGTATCTTTGAATATAAACCTAATAAGGAAATCGTCACGCCGATTTTTACCTTTAAGTTAATATTCGCTGGAATTACCGTAGACTTCCAAAAGATCAAATTGTGGATTAAAAATGAAAATTCGCTCATTTTTAATACAACCAAACTATTATCTTTACACGTTAAATTTATTTGATTTAGTTCAACACCATGATTCACTGAACGAATATTTCACTTCGAGACTTAATACTCAGTATTCTTGGCCGCTCTGGAAGTAAATGTAGACATTATCAGCAGTAATGAAATATTTAGAAATAAATAATTGAACATTACCTGTACAAAGATATAATCATAGCATGCAGGTATATGATGATATAACCTATACAAAGAAATAATCATAGCATGTATATGTTGACATAACCTATACAAAGAAATAATCCTAGCATGTATATTTTGACATAACCTATACAAAGAAATGATTAGAAACTTTCAAAAATATGAGGCTTGTAGGCCGGGTATCTCGTGATGAATGATTCTTGAGTGACGTAGCGAGAGTGAATCCTGAATCGTGAGTGACCAATTGATCGAGGCACCTATAGAATGTTGAGTTGAGTCGGACCCATGCTGAGGAAGCATATAATGTTAAGAAAACTTTGAGCTTCCTTAGGCGAGGTTCAAAGATGAATTGATACAAGAACTTTATAGAAGTTCGTAGTCGTTTTTGCAATAAAATCGAAAATACAAATCTTTAAGTTTGGACGTGAGTATAGAAAGATGTTATTTTAAATTTCACAATTTTCGAGCAAATCTAACAACACACACAGAAGCATCTATGGTAAACAAATGATAACAATTGGCTCTTACCGAATCATCGGAAATACTGGGCTGCTTTTACAATAAGTATAAGCACCGAATTCGTAAGTCTAGGTCGTAGTGCTACTGATATAAATCTTGCCGATTGAAGGAAACGACAACACATCGCATCAAGGGTTAAAGGTCGGACTAGATTGTCATTGAGAAACCTCAACATATAATACACCACGATGTTTATTCGATAATAAATCGATAATGGCAGTTATTTAGAGGAAAAGTAATTCATGACATTTATTTCGGAAGGATTAATCGATCACGATATTTATTAAGGAAGAATAATCCATTCGCGGAAATTACTTTAGAGGCGTAAATAGTTTGAGATAGTAATCAATCGAGTATAAATGGTTGGTTTCATTCACATAGGATGTACAAATGGTTAGCATAATTCATAAATAAAGTAATAATGGTTAGTGGCATTCACCTAGGAAGTTTAAATAGTTCGAGGCATTCACTGAGGAAGGTTAAATGGTTGACAGAATTCATCAATAAAGTATCAATGGTTTGAGGTATTCAACAATAAATTATAACTTGTTCGCCGCATAACTGAGCAGGATAAACTAAATAAATTGAGGGCCCCAAAGGAGCAGGGATTGTGAGCAGGAAGAGGTCGTCACGCCAAGACGATGGCTCGATAAGAACGCGACACGTGATGGCTAGACATGCAGCACGGCGCGATGGCTAGACATGCAACACGACGCGATGGCTAGACATGCAGCACGACGTGATGGCTAGACATGCAGCACGACGTGATGGCTAGACATGCAACACGACGCGATGGCTAGACATGCAGCACGACGTGATGGCTAGACATGCAGCACGTAGGCTTGTTTCAAGGATTCAAATGATTAATAGCGATGATTATTCTTAGAGATTTTCTCTGTGAATTTAACTTTATCGGGAATTTATTAAGGTCGCATTCGATGTTACAGTATTGGGCACGTTAAGTCCTTGTAAGATGACAACTATCATGAGAGTTCGTTTTGTAGAATGAATAATAAAATATTAAACCAACAGGCCATGGGCCTATTTCTTTAGTGCCGACACTTCTATTCTATTCTATGAGTGTTCGTTATGTAGAATGAATAATAAAATATCAAACACAAGGTGACAAAAATTATTAATTTCTGGAGAAACGTTATGATATACCTAAATAAGCTAGAGTGGGATTGATAATAATGAACAATTTCTTCGAATATGTCGGTAATCCAGTGTATTTTGTAGGAAAAATAGCATATAAAAATATTAAAAATAGCATATAAATATAAGTAATTTTTTATCAGCGATGATACAAGCGTATAATATTTACGTTAATAACACTTGCAATGATCTCCATGAACATTAAGATAAAGATTGCGAAGAAAGTAATCAAGATCAGCTGAAAATATTGCCGCAAATCAAGCCCTCTTTTATTCGAGCAAAACTTTGACGTGATCACGCGACGGTTTAACTGCCGGTCAGAGGCTGACGTTGATAGATGACAAGCTGTAAGAATCGCCATTATACATATTGTGTGCATTATTCCATTATATTGTGTGCCCGAAGTTGTCACTATTATACACACTGTATGAATTATACCTATACTGTCACTCATAGACCTATCATCGGATCATTCCTTGAGAGATAAAGTCACTAAAGTTTTCGATAATCAACATGAAAGTTGTGTTAGCAACCGCAGTAATAACCATTTCAACATTACACACAACAACCGCAGTAATAACCATTTCAACACTACACACAACAACCGCAGTAATAACCATGTCAACATTACACACAACAACCGCAGTAATAACCATTTCACCGTTACACACAACAACCGCAGTAATAACCATTTCACCATTACACACAACAACCGCAGTAATAACCATTTCACCATTACACACAACAACCGCAGTAATAACCATTTCACCATTACACACAACAACCGCAGTAATAACCATTTCACCATTACACACAACAACCGCAGTAATAACCATTTCACCATTACACACAACAACCGCAGTAATAACCATTTCACCATTACACACAACAACCGCAGTAATAACCATTTCACCATTACACACAACAACCGCAGTAATAACCATTTCACCATTACACACAACAACCGCAGTAATAACCATTTCACCATTACACACAACAACCGCAGTAATAACCATTTCACCATTACACACAACAACCGCAGTAATAACCATTTCACCATTACACACAACAACCGCAGTAATAACCATTTCACCATTACACACAACAACCGCAGTAATAACCATTTCACCATTACACACAACAACCGCAGTAATAACCATTTCACCATTACACACAACAACCGCAGTAATAACCATTTCACCATTACACACAACAACCGCAGTAATAACCATTTCACCATTACACACAACAACCGCAGTAATAACCATTTCACCATTACACACAACAACCGCAGTAATAACCATTTCACCATTACACACAACAACCGCAGTAATAACCATTTCACCATTACACACAACAACCGCAGTAATAACCATTTCACCATTACACACAACAACCGCAGTAATAACCATTTCACCATTACACACAACAACCGCAGTAATAACCATTTCACCATTACACACAACAACCGCAGTAATAACCATTTCACCATTACACACAACAACCGCAGTAATAACCATTTCACCATTACACACAACAACCGCAGTAATAACCATTTCACCATTACACACAACAACCGCAGTAATAACCATTTCACCATTACACACAACAACCGCAGTAATAACCATTTCACCATTACACACAACAACCGCAGTAATAACCATTTCACCATTACACACAACAACCGCAGTAATAACCATTTNACCTCCCACCATACCACCACACACGCAGTAATAACAGCCTGGTTACCCTCCACAATACCACGGGGCAACGTACTTAAAATTTCGTAAAACCAACATCAATATTCGCCAGTACTATGAAATTGCCACGAAGATAATTTATGAAGTTTAATTTTAACGCAAACAAAAGAGAGGATATATATTTTTTGATGTCAACAGATCTCAAGAATATTCAAGAGGAAATGACCTTGTCGATGATTATCTGGGAAACTGACACCTTGATTCCATCAGACGAGTTTGCACACAAGTAAACATTTTGATACTCTTACTACATCCTATACATACTATACCATTAGTCATAACCATGAACGGAATATAGATAATTTTACAAATCTATATGAACTAGTTAAGTGCTGCTGCTAATGGAACTCTCGAGTTCCTGACCAATAAGTCAGAACACTAATAAGCTTTAGTGAAAATTAAACGGCACGCCTGTTTACTTGTGAAGAAATTCTTGTAAGCGGCGACTTTCATTTTGGTTCACTATCATAAAGGAAGATTTTAGCGTAAAGGCATGACAAAATAATTGTCGAGGGACAACAAGCCAGGTGTTATGTGCCTTATATTATCAGTGGTGACTTGGAAAATTTCATTTTGGTTTACTAGCATAAATGAAGATTTTAGCGTAAGGGCGTGAGAAAATAATTGTGTAGTCGAGGGATAAGCCAAGTGTTATCTGCCTTAGCTGGTTTACAGAAAAAAATTCTATGTAAACCGAAATAAAGTTAAAGAGATACAAAATGAGGCATATGTAAAAATTTCAGCAGTGGGGTCCCAATTACAAAAAAAAAAAATTGACTGTTTTAATTTCATATAAAAATAATGAAGATATACGTAGCAGAGTCAATATTTTCACATAGTATTGTACCATCGATATCAATAACTTCTCAATTAGACATTGAACGAAAATTTCAACACGACAGAAGTAAAGCACACAACAACAGGCACCTCAGTTATTGGGGGCTTGCATTAACCACAGAGCCTCACTTTATTTGACTTTCTCTCAGGATGATCTAAAAATTGGTTCACCACAAGGCTTGGGAAAAAGAACTGCAAAACTATTCTTATGAACTTCAAGATGGGGATAAGGATGAGGGAATAATTGGTAAATGAAAAATTCAATAAAGAAGCCAGGAGAAATGTAAATGTTAAAATGACAATTAGGACAAATAATTTGAGTACCACGAGAAAATGGTCAGTGGTTTAGGTTTCCAGGTTTACTCACAGAACATATCAGTTGAAGTGGTAGTAATCCCGCCCTTCAGTGAGTTTAAGCGATGCCAGGTTCTCTTCAAACTGCCCCTTCGTCAGACCCTGGTAGAGATTCAGTTATCTCATCTCAAATACAAACACATAACTTGCATTTAACAATGAAGAATATATTAAAATCAACAAGGCAGTCGCAATAACTGTGCATTCTTAGGCAGAACCTCAGACTTGAAAAATAAGCCAACATAAATAGAGCGCACAAGAGTTTATTATTAGTTTGCCTAGGAAAATTGAAATCAATCACAATCTCCGTATATTCATATCATGAAACATCATTAAATTTCCCCTTCACAGAGCCATCAAACCGTTAGATGGAACTCTCACAGCGACAGCTTGATACAATACATAGAAAGCTATCGTGCTTCTAAAAATAATTTCAGCTTTTTGTGTGGTAGCCTTGAATATAACCCCTAATTAGTCAATGCCAAAATAACTGAGAACCACATAATTGTTCACATTCATGCGTATACGGCAGAACTGACCAGCTTTACGCAGATGAGAAGCGGTGGCGGCGCTTCACTAAAGTGGACTAATAGATTTCCTCAATATAAATATGTAATTTAGTCAATGCCAAACAAAACATAACCACATAATTGTTCACATCCTTATATATATACGGCAGAACTGACCAGCTTCACGCAGATGATAAACGGCGGCGACGCTTCACTGAAGTGGACGATGGGCACGCGTGGCTTGGGGCGCTCGTGGCTGGCCTCGTGGGTGTAGAACTTGCCGATCTTCTTGACGTCGACGTCGCAGAAACACGTCACCTACAGGGCAAGTCGAGGGAAAAAAGAACAAGGGATAACTTGATAGTCAATGAATGAAGTCTAGAACAAGAAAAAATATAACTCAGTACTCACTGCAGTGAGTGACAGAGAGCGCATTTTTTCGTCGACGAAAATGTGAAGTCACGGTCGGACAGACAGACGGACGGACAAACTGACATAGCGAGAACAATAGTAAATTTTTTCCATAATTGAGAAAATGCACTAAAAACTGGATTATTGCCATTGGTATGCATAAAGTTGGGATTACTGAATAAAACTTGAATGACAAAGAAATATGTAACAAGTGGATATATAGATTGTTTTTCCAACATTAAATATAAAAAATTCCTTTAATTTACACGGCAAAAAACATTTTGTAGAACCAATGCCCCACAAGTAAGAGGATGGCTGGAATGCGCATCTTTTATTTAATCCGAAATGGTCATTAATGTGTGTTTACATAAAATATATTATCATAATGATAGGAAAACAACTAAACGACTTGATTATGAAAGCAATTTAACATAGATTGCAACGAAATCGATCCGATACGATTTCAATCAGGTAACCATCATCAAGATAACGTATGAGTAATTATGGTACAATCAAGATCAATTATACAATCACGATCAATTGTACTATCAAGATCAATTGTACAACCAAGATTAATTGTACTATCAAGATCAATTGTACAACCAAGATTAATTGTTCAATCATGATCAATTGTACAATAAATCTTATGAATAATATAAATTGTTAATATTATTCATTAAACATGAATAATATTAACAATTATACAAGTGAAGGGACCTTGTCCCTGTTACGAGGCTGTAAGGAGCGGTACAGTTTGCGCCCCTGCTTGCCGGCGCTCCAGATGGTGAAGCGCGGCCACGCGTCCAGCACCTGTAGCTGCACCTCCTTCACCCGCGCCTCCCAGATGCTCTCCCTACATCGTAAATAAGATAAATTATTTGAAAATTAACGAAGAAAATTAATTCAACCGTTAAAATCAGATTCTTGATTATGAATTTAAATCTAGTTATTCATGATTTTCATGATCACCCGCGCCTCCCAGATGCTCTCCCTACATCGTGAATAACATACATTATTAGAAAATTAACGAAGAAAATTAATTCAAGTTCTTAAAACAGATTTTAGATTCTGATTATAAGTCTAGTTATTCATGATTTTCATGATACACATGAATGGTGATCAGCTCCGTCTTTAATGGAGATTAAAAAAATACATTTATTGACAACGGTCACCCGCCTGCCGTTCATCTGCCAAATGAAGGAACATATTTGTTTTAGAAGGTAATTAAATATATGGAATTAGTGCCATGGGTCCCATAGCTGAGGCCAACTAAACCCACTCAGAGACATGGAGCCACTCAGAGACATGGAGCCACTCAGAGACATGGAGCCACTCAGAGACATGGACCCACTCAGAGACATGGAGCCACTGAGAGTCCTGGTAATCTGAGACATTGACCCACTGAGACACGGCATGCGTGGCGGCGGCGTGGTGGTGGCGGTATACCAGCAGGGGGGCGCCGGGGGTCCGCAGCACGGCCCCCCCGCGGCGGATGTGGTCGTAGAAGAAGAACAAGTCCTCGGGGACCCCACGCCCCGCTTCACTGAAGGGCCCCACCAGCAGGTACAGGTCCCGGGACATGAACCATGTCGGCATGATCACCGTGGGGCCGTGCGACGTGAAAGCCTGCAGTCACCAGTCTCATGTTAATGAGCGTTCAGAAATACCTATACAAGCTTCGGATATTTAAATCAATTTATGTAATTTACATTCGTTCATTATAAAAAAGAGCCTTTGACAAGTGTTAATTCAATTACAGTTTATCCATCTATTGCATTTTAATAGTAATATATGTTAAATATAATCGAATATTTAGGTAAGTGCCCTTCATTTAACATTATTAAGTAGCTTGTCTCAAGAGTATTAAATCTACAATTATTATAATTTATAATAATTATTATAAAAATATTCCTGAATCAAATCTCGATAGACGAAGAGTTTTTCATGAATAAAAAAATTACAGGTCAACATTTTCGTAGCATTTGAAAGACACATCGTAATTCATTCAAGCATTCTCCATGCCTGGTAGTATATAGGTGTGTATATGTAAGGAAAAGAACGTCTCAGATCAAAGAAAAATGAACAATTGAGTTACCACGAATGAAACTAAATCCACCAATTCATTCGAGTTATTTCCACAGTCCATTCATGATGAGAAATATCGCAACAGGAGATCGAAGATACAAAGAAAACCTAAGGTTTAATAACTAAATTAAATGACCTGGGTGAGGAGCGAAACAAATAAAACCTGAGGTTTAATAACTAAAATAAATGACCTGGGTGAGGAGCTGAGGGGGGGTGAGGGAGTTCGCCCAGAGGGTGTAGCGAAGGGTGGCATCCGCAGGCTGTCGGGTGAACCCGCTCCCTACGAGCTAAATAAATAAAAATATAACTCAGTACTCACTGCAGTGAGTGACAGAGAGCGCATTTTCTCGTCGACGAAAACTTGAGGTCACGGACGGACAGACGGACATGGCGAGCACAATAGTGCATTTTTTTCATAAAAGAGAAAATGCGCTAACCAAGATGTAAAATAAAATATAATTTTGCAGCACATAATAATTTTAATGAACAAAATTAGCACTCAAGTATTTTAGCGCATTTTATCATTTATGGAAAAAAGGCGCTATTGTGCTCGTCATGTCTGTCCGTCCGACAGTCTGTCCGTCCGTGACTTTACGTTTTCGTCGACGAGAAAATGCGCTCTCTGTCACTCACTGCAGTGAGTACTGAGTTATATTTTTTAGAAAATTTTATAATTTTCAGTTACGACATTATTTCACAAGCTTTTGACATAATCAGCTAACTGAAAAAATAAACAATAAATAATTTAAGGCAGAATACGCGCGAAGCAAAACATTCGTAAGAGAAAAACTGACGCACACATAATATGATTGCCAATAGAATGACACCAAATAAATTACGAAATCATCAAAAGGAAGACATTTTCAGTTAACATAAAAATAAAATGTTGGTGTTAAGGACTGCCAAGAATCAGAGTCCATTTCAAAACGATTTATTCGTATGTTCCGGTATTAATGACATTTATATACGGTATGCCTCAACTTTATAGCGTAAAAATAGCTCGCTATTTTTTAAACCTTCTTCAATATATTTTAAACCTTCTTCGATAGTGACGTCACACTGAGAATTATACCAACAATACCGCCAAAGACGCAGCAAACAACTACTATATTAGTTGTCCTCCTATAGATTATTAGTTGTACAAGTCACAGATCACTGATACATCATTTATCATCATCATAAAATACAACTCATCACATCTGACCGCGTCAGGATGTTGCTGCAGGAGGCGGTACTGTACAGCGATGCGGTGTGGCAGCATCGTGTCATCCTACATGCAGGAAAATTTATATAAACAAATATTTAACATATAGAAACAAATTTTAAACAAATTAATAAACCAATTCTAAAAAAATTTCAGATCAATAGGAAACAAATTTTAAACAAATGAGAAACAAGTTTTAAACAAATAATAAACAAATTCTAAAGAAATAATGAACAAATTCTAAACAAGTATCAAAAAGATATTAAATAAATATTAAATTCTGTGCTTACCAATAAAGGCTAGGAAAATCCACATAAATTGGGTAATTTTTCGTAAGAATTGAAAGAATCTAGATGTGTTAGATACGATAGTTTTAAATTAACTAGTAATATGTTCATGTTAAAAATGTTAAATTAACCAGAAATATGTTAAATAACCAGAAATTAACCAATATGTACCAATGTATGTTATGTTAACCATCTCAGCAATATTCACATGTATTTGGCAACCTCTTATAATATTTATACACAGATAATGTTTCCTACGCATAATAAATATAAAAATATCAATCCGAAATATGATTTTTTAGAATGAAAAAAGTTGATCAATCATGAAAAATTATGCAAAACAATCGGAGATCTTACGTTATGAGGTTGTAACATGTAGGTAACGTTATAAGGTTGTAACATGTAGCTAGCGTTATAAGGTTGTAACATGTAGCTAAGGATTTATTCAATCAATTTATTTTTCGGAGATCTCACCGCATCCATGAAGCAGAGGCAGCGTCCGGAGCTCTGAGCGACAGCTTTATTCTTTGCATACCCAACTGATAACGATAGGTATAGCAGAATTTACATAAATATTCATTGAATGTTCGCAAATTATGCGCCGAGTCTATTGCAAAAAAAACATGGAATGCTCAATCAGAATAAACGTCTTAAAATAGACAGGGAACACTTATAAATTGAATAATCAAATGAGACTGATGAATTTTGAGGAATAAATACCTATTCAGAGGAATACAAATGAGTTTTGCTTTTTGAATAGGCTCTATCTTCAGCAAACTAATACCGTTATTATATAACACCTTCGCAATTTCTCTCACTTATATAACACATAGCGCAGTGTATTTTCAACATCAGGCTTGACATCATAAATTTTTGCGCTAAAAATAAAAAAAAAACTGACCAATTGACAACACAAAAAATCCAATATCCATGCCCTGACACTTGAAAATAAGAATCTCCCACTGAATTTCCGACGAACCTCCTTTAGGACGCGAGTTAATTTCCTCTGTCGCTATCAACCTAACGCCCTTGGTGTCAAAAGGCGTCCTCCACTTCTCGACGATGCTTGAGGATTCGTCGGTGCAGGAGTCGAGGAACACCGAGAGCTCCAAGCGAAGGTCGCCGGTCTCCTGAACATGGATTGAAGACAGGCACTCGTCCAGCCACGGCCCGGCGTTGTGGACCGGCAGAATTATAGACTGAAAATAGAAAAATATCTTGTACATTTGTTAGGCAGGGTGGCATATTAGTAACAGTTCAGAGTACCAGGATTGGATCAGTGAGCTACGGGTTTGATCCCAGCTTCCTGCGACAGTTCTGGTCAAATCCGCGAGGTGGCCTGGCGGTTAAACATCGCAAAAAATTGAAGCTGAGTTACGTGTTCGAGACCCGCATCAAGCTGTGAATGTTCTGCGATGTTCATAATCGGTGAACAGGTCTAAGGGCTCAATTCACGCTAACACTGCTATAATATATGCGTCAAAAGATTGTATGTCTAAAGCCTAAAGCTGGAAATATATAAGGGCTGATTTAGTGCCTATCCACAATACTTCTCAAGTCGGAATATTACATAGAAATCAATTCCAATGACATGGAATGACAAATAAATCCCACACTGAAGTTGACAAAAATTTCGTTCTTTATTTGAAAATAACAGAAAAAATGATTCAAGGGTCCAGATAAATAATTGAAAAGATAAATAGGAAATGACTTACTACAGGTCATATGACTCCAGTTATGGTTCATTTTCCTGCCTCAATCAGCGAACTTGTGAACATATATGATTTACTCATAGTGACCAAGCGATACATGATAATCTATGTAAAGTTACTACAATAATCCATGGCAGGCATCACTCACCACGTTTACAGGGGGAGACAGCATCTCTGGCTCCACGCGGATCAAATTTCCAAGCCTAAAGCGCTTCAGCAAACAAAGGATATTCCGGTATTCCGAATTTGTGTTTGAATCCAAACTTATTGAACTTCCTATAGAAGCGTTTAATGAAATGCTATAGCCCGTAGAATCGACAAAAAATGAGGTACCTACTGTAAAAAGTAAAGCAAATATTTAAAAGTAAAAGTTTCGCCGAAGTTTTCTTCGCCTTAAATTTTTTTTAAATTGCGGTTTAAAAAAAACAAATGGTATCGGTGCTGATATACCCACCATTAAGTCAATTGATGGTAGTCGCTTTGTTTGTTAATAACATCAGCACAGACGTCTCAGTGAAACAGACCCTCACCCAAAGAATGCCGATCCAATTTTCAAGGAAATTTAAAGTAACGTTTTTGCAGCATATTTGAAAAATTTCTAGATTCGAGATGTCAAGAGGTGTGCGAGAGTATACAGCTTGGCCCGGGAGGTCGTCACCTGAAACTTTAAAAAATTCCCCTTGGCAGTAAAGAGAGGACAACTACTGAAATTATTTCCATGTCAACCCAAAAATGTTGCCTATTTAATAGACAGAACATTAAAACGAAGTAATAGGAGAACAGCAGTAGTAACGATGGAAGGACAGGAGGTTAGGTAAGAGAACCCAGACACTCTTACCAAAAATCATTACACAGGCGCCGCATCGGCCAGCTGTCCTCCAGTAAGGAATGGTATCCTACCTACACAATTGAAGAGCCACAGACTGCTATCGCGAGCTCTTCACTGCGGCACTCAAAACCCCAGACCATTAGAGGTAAATGCTAACTAACGAAGACCATATCAACCCAGACCTCACGAGGAGAACAATTGTCCAGTCGTTGCTGCTCGAAAAGAAACTATAGCGCACCGTATTCCCGAAACATTATCAGCGACATTGAGGAAAAATATTTGGTTTTCATAGAAAAAAATTAATTTTTATCAAGATATTGTGAGCTGCAGAGGAGCCCAAGGGAGTGCAGAGTTCCCTTTGATGCTTGAATGGACATCCCTCTAGGGCTTTTCAATTGAAGCACATTTTCCTACATCTCAATTGCTTAGATTTTCACTTCAACACTTTTTTTTCTTCCATGAACCAAGTTAAGTTAAAAATCCGTTATATACTCTGCCAGGACATGAAAGTTCGGACATAATTTTCAAAGTAATGGTGTTGACGAGGCTTGCATTGGATACCAATGACATAAATCTCACACAAACTGAAAAACGTTAGACTTCGTCGAAGGTCCATTGCAAAGCTACAGCTGAAGGCCTCCATTGTAGAAAAACCGATCATTTCTAATGGTACTCATAGATGCTGCATCTAAGTTCCTGCCTTACTCAACATTAATTGAAATGTTCAACATATTAATATTCTTCTTGCTTACTCTCAGTCTTCAAGACCTCCTCTGTATTTTCTATCTTCAGCAGAAAAAAATAACTCACAACTTAAATCTCAAACATTTATTCGTCACCAAAGAATGACAACTGGAGGGTTTTGAAGAACAAACTTCATCTTCCCTCGTCATCAGATCAAGATTCATCTTCCCTCGTCATCGGATCCAGATTCATCATCATCTTCATCATCGTCATCCTCATCATCGTCGTCATCCCCTAAGCTGAGGTCATCGAAGTCGTCGGCTAACGTCATCCTGAGTTTAGTGTGGCGCTTGAGTTGCTCAAGCTTGCGGTAAGCGAGCTTCATGTAGTCGTTGTGTGGCAGACACGACTCCTGCTCGCGCTTCATCCGCTGCTCGTAGCTCGCCAGCGCCTCGTCCGTGTCCAGGTCGGTGATGTCAACCTTGGGGCCGATGCCATTCGCATTGTCCATGAATCTGAGCACGATTCAATTAACATTTAAGAAATTCATATCTCAGATGAGTCTCGAACCTTGACCGGATTAAAAGTTAGTATTTGAAGTATATGAATTTGTAGTAATACAAACGTTAAGGAAAACTTTTCTGTTGGAGGTATCCAAATCTCCCATAAAATTTTCTAGCCTAATTGAAATGGCAAATGAATGGCAGTTTGTGAAAATTTTTGAGCCCATTCACTTGATTACTCCAACAAAGAGTTTCTGTAGAAGTGTAAAAAATTACTACCGGTGGTTGAATTCCTAGCTTGAAGAATTATAAATTGAACAAATTAATTCATCTATCATTGGATATGAAACTTTTGTGCAGCCAAATAAAAAATTCGGATCACTAGCTATAAAAATAACCAAACTGATACATGTTGATCAAAGCACAGCAAATTGAGTATAGGTAATGCATTCTAATTTTCAACAATTAATTCATTAACAATTCATGAACAAAGCATTATGTAAGAAATTATGTTCACAATCGGCACATTTACAGCCATTAATTAACTATTCTTCAGTGTACTAATTTTAGCATCAGAAAAATGTACGTATCTTAGAAATCTCCACTTGAACAGACTTAGTCTACAATATTAAATTTCTGTTCAAATTAATTAGCATTTTGACTAAGCATCTGGCACGGATGGAAACTCAAACCCAAATCTGAATTAATTTCTAAATCAAAGACAGAAACAAAAAACAAACAATAGAAGAATCAACACTACAGGGAAGAAGACTTCTGACGCACCTCCAGAACGCTTTCCTTCTCCTCACTGGTAGCCTCCTCACTTCTGCTTCCAGTTCGCTCTTTTCTTTAAGTTGTGTCTGGGATCATACAATACAAACTTTAATTATGCAACGAATCAGCAATTTATTAGCAAGTATAATATGTATGTTATATAATAAGTATGTATGAGGATTGTAAATAAAATTTCATTAGAATAACAACAGCACAAGATTAAAGCAGGGTTAGAGTTGCCAACAGCAGAATGATTCCAAGTTTACATGGATAAAATGAATAAATAGGTGATCAATAATAAATAAATTTACATAGATAAAATAAAAATTAGTTCCAGCTGACAACATTAAAAGCCACAAATATGATAATTAGAGCATTTACATGCATAGGTAATAATTTGAGCTCATTACATTTTGTCTACTTTTCTGCTTTTCATCTACAATATTAAATCTTTTATTGAAAATTTTAAATCAGAGCAACTAGAACTATTCATAGCTGGTGATTCTGCATAAAGTAAATCCTTAGTAACTTAAACTCACTCGTTCATCCGGAGGTGCCTCTTTGACCACTTTCTTCTCCTTGGCACATTTACAGCAGATACCCAGAGACGTTGCACATGGCAAGCACACTGTGTGGTATGCATTCTGAAAATAAACATTTTCAAAGCTCCAATGATACCCTATATATTTGCATTACAAGGCTAAACAGAATACAAGATGTGCAATATGTAATCTGTGAACATTATACGGCATGCTAACAATCAGACTAAACTAGGAAATATGTACTAGCTCATGAACCATTAACATATTATCTATATTTCAACTATTCCTTCTCGTAGCAGTACTCACCACAATCGTTTTATCACTGCATTTGGTGCAAGTTTTGGGCTGAGAGAGAGGTTTATACTTCTTGTACTTAATCTTCCATTCAATGATGTTATTGCAAGTCTCACAGACCTGAAAAATAAAACAACTTAGTTACTCATGAGAATGACAAAGTGAAGCACAAAGTGAAGCACTGACTGGAACTCACAATCCCTTGCATGGTGGTTAGTGACTGATCTGGGCTACAGCAACTTTGGGTTGACTTAAACAATGCTTTCTAATAGCACTGGACCTACAATACACTTCAAGCTGAAATCCATGGTTGAAAGTTTAGCTAGAATAACATTTGCAGTTTCCTAATAAAGTAGGCTTGCCATTTCCGGATGAGATCAATTTGAAGTTTACCTATATATACCTACCGGTATGTATTGCAGTCAGCTGCACAGGAATTTACTGGTGAAAAATATTGAATTCTAACAAAATGTCAAACCAATATTTTGGCAAGTTTTCCTAAAAACAAATAGGTATGCAACATTCTTGATTGAAAATTGAAGAGTTACATGACTGACAAGCACACAATGATATCAGGATCTAAACATAACAGGCTTTTATATAGGGTAGTACCTAGATCATTGCTGGCACAGTGGATGGTGGAGTCAACATATTGATGCTAGGCTTGTACATTGGTGGTATGCAATTCAGAATAACCACCTACTATATTTTGCATTATCAATTGTCTGCTAAATATTAAGATGTTTAAAAAACATCTCAAGAAGGTAAGTTTTGATGAGTTTCACCTCACCTGGATCCTGGGAATAAACCTCATTAAAACTTTTACCTCCCAATTCAATCGTCAAGCAATTTGCCTTGCTTCTGGAAAAGGATACTATCATGGTGAAATTTTTCATCAATAAATTTAGGCTACTGTGCTAGTTTGACAAAAACTAACATAACTAATGCATGCTCGAGAGTTTTACATATATATTTGAGAGCAACAATTAAGTTGGGTGATGGAGAACATTACACATAAAGAAAATACCATAACTTGAAACTAACCTGCACAACATCAAGTTCAGCAATCATCTTGCTCCGATGATTAGTGTCAAATCGAAGGTTATCAAACACTTTCTTGTTTTTATGCTTTTGGGGTCTTGTTCGAACAACATTCCCACGTTGAGAACTCATTATGCTGTATGCACTTCACCTCAGGACAGCAGAATAGATTTCCTAAAATGGTTTTATCCTAGGATGCTTTGAAGTATATAGGTACACTTCTAAAATTCAAAATTTTAATTTATTAATGTAATGAGAATAGAATTAGGTAGATTTATCCAAGAAGCATTAACTCTCTGGAAAGCAGACATAAAATGATATTAATCTGAAGTTTCAAGTTTAAGTGACAGAGATGTTGTTGTGTTCCTATGCCTGGAAGGTCTTGTGTGCATGCCAATTTTTTTTGTGGGGATAGGTATACACTGGTACGGTATGTCGGAAATAAACATCAGTTCACCAAAAAATTTTTTGTTCACAATACTGAGCACGCTTGAAACAAATGTAGGTACCACAGTTACAGTATATATACAACACCAAGTCTCTTGGGTGCACCTGCACCAAGTCTCTTGATGAGGACATTGGTCACAAGCACCACAACATAATGTATACAAACAATGCTTTTCAAGTTTATCTTGTTTTATGCAAGTTTTAAAACTACTTAAACATCACTTTCAAAGTTTATACAGCTTATACTAGTTTCAATACAATGCAAACACTAAACACAGCTTTTCAAGTTTATTAGGGTTTATACTAGTTCTGAAAAAATGTATACCTTCAAATGGGGTACCGGTACGTAATATGGGATGGTATTGAGGGTTTTTCATTAATAACTTTTTACCATGAAACATTTCATATACAAGTTTGGGCTCATTATATAGCGCTTGGTGTGGGCTATTGTATGGAATTTCTAATGGAATTCCATATGCTATTTGTAAGTTGCCAGTCACAAAATAAACACGTCCCTAATTACACCTGGGAACAGAGTAATCTGGGACACTTGAAATAAAACTTCATTTTAAGACAATTGAAGCATGCAGAGTGTACCATCTATTGCTACTAACAGTGATCTGAAGTCCTCTTTTTCCTTTGTAAATGATGTACCGTATATGTAGAATGAATGATATTTACATTGATTTTACTTGTTTTTCATTTATTGATATGATATTACCATATCCATACATTACTGTATTATTGATGTAATATTACCATATCCATGAACATGCCATTGAGCATTTACAATAACCTTGTCCACTGCACGCTTCATATCAGCAGCCTTATAGCATTTTTAGCGCATTTTATCATTTATGGAAAAAATGCACTATTGTGCTTGCCATGTCCATCTGTCTGTCTGTCCCTCTGTCCGTGACCTCAAGTTTTCGTCGACAAGAAAATGCGCGCTCTGTCACTCACTGCTACCACTAAGTTACATTTTTTCTGCTTCTGTAAGCTTACAAGGATGGCTTGTATTTCCACATCATTTTAAATGGGTCAAGAGAATTCACTATAACAAAAAAAGGTAGTAAAAACAGTCCTGAAATGGAAAGGAATATTCTAGTGACAACCATAATATTTTTTAGAAAAATGAATCACAATTTAGGTTAATTACTTTTCATTTCATGTTGCCCGGTGCACAATTCTATCTATGACATTCTCTGCACAATTTTGTGATGAGTGATGATGCATTAATTTTTTTATTAGGTGAAATTTTTTTGCTGAGCATGGTAAATATAATACATTTACCATGCTAAAAAATATATAATATATATATATATATATATTTTTTTTAATTGATATTTTCATTGACTGAAGCCTTTGCTAATCAAGGTTCTACTGTAAATGCATTTTTAGGGGTGTCACTTATTACCCAGGGGAGTGTCCTTTATTACCCTGTCCTGCAGAAATGGCCACCATTTCATTTTGGAATGAGATATGAGAATTCTGTCAATCACATTTTTAAGCCAACACCAGTGTGCAACTTTTATGTAAGTAAAATTTTTTTATATGGCAAATATTTTTATTTTGCAACAGACCTTAGCAGAGGTACGTTTCCAAAATTTCACTTTTCACACTTTATTTCGGAGAAGTTTCAGGGGTACCGGTAGTACTGTATATGTATGATTTCTTAACTTACTTTATGGTACTACATAGATGGTAAAAATGTTGAACTTTTTGCCGCTTTTTTTAGTTTTGCAATATTTTGATTAGTTTAGCTGCTACATTTCTACATAATGTGGGATGACTGTCCCGATTTACCCCACTTGTCCCTTATTACCCTGTTTGATGGCACCTACCCAAATACCCATATTGCTTTAGTCTATTTGAGTTTATACTGGTTCGTATGTACCAGTTTTGAAATAGATGGTTGCAGCAGATTTTGAGTTTTCAGCGCATTTTCTCATTCATGGATAAAATGCAATACCGTCAACCGGGGCTACTCGGGACGATTTCTAACGTTTTTCATTAATAACTTCTTACCATGAAACATTTCATAAACAAATTTAGGCTCATTTCAAAGCTCTTTGCAAGGGCTATCACATGGCTTTTCAAAAAAAAATTCCATATGCTATTCGTAAGGTGCTAGAAGCAAAAAAAAAAAAAAGAGTGTCCCAAGTAGGCCTGTCGAATGGGGCTACTCGGGACACTTGGAATAAAAATTCATTTTAAAACATTCGAAGCATGCAGAGTGTACTCATCCATTACTAACAGTACTCTGAAGTCCTCCTCTTTCATTGTAGATGATGTAGAGGTAGAATAAATGACATTTTCTGTGATTTTTACTTGTTTTTCCTTTATTGATATGATATTACCATATACCTACATTAATTACCGTATTATTGATGCAATATTATCGTATCTGTTGACGGTAGCGCGACTTTTTTTTCACAATGCATCATTTTCCCGCCTCTAGCCAGAGGTGTTACGTTCGTAACAAAAGTGTTACTTTTTGCTTATTAGATCTTATGTTGTTACTTTTGTTACCACTTTCGGAAAAATTCGCCAACTGTTGTTACTTTATGAATTTCAGTCAATAATTCTTTAAATAAGGTCCCTTCCATAGGCACTCGTGCTGAAGAGTCAGCTTAACCGCGCCTTGTCTCGTTCATAACTCGAATGATCGAGTTCGGCAACGTTCGCCGGTAAGTGCGCCATGCCGGTGCTCTAGCCCTTTAAGCCCTGGTGCGACGAATTCGTCACAGAAAATAAAAGCTTCTACCGAGAGTAATTACATGTTTGGAGTCTAACCGCGAGTGTGACAGTAGCGTCACATGTTGTGAACTCGTTCGAACGACATTCGATGGAGTAGGCGCGCCGTTACTGCCAGTACAACACAAAGACTGCACATGATCTGAAAAGTAATTCAGATTGTTTTTTTCACTTTTGAAACATAATTCAGTGCGTAAAGGGCTAGTTACTTGTTAGCCTTCAACGGTCAAGATTGCTGCCATATCTACTGCTAACTTTTATCAAACTACATAATTTTCCTTTCCTTTGCTATTTTTGAGGATTTATTATAATTATTCCCATATATTCTTAAGTTTGATTAGCGCGGTTTTGCTTAACACGGTAAAACTCAGGGATTTATTAACCGCGTTAATCAAGGGATTGCTGTAAATGTCTGCCAGACTGGTGATGTACAACAAATACATAATTTATACAGGTAAGTATTATGACCAGGGCATTAGTTGATTTAAATTCATTCTCTGATCATTAATCATGTATACTGACAACCAAATTCTATGTCTAAAAACAATTCAAGTCATAGTGACTTATCACATATTTTTTTAGAATCGGTTCATTTTTCCTAATCTACAGAAGATTCAAAACAATTTTTTATGTATGATGATGCTGGTATGAAGGTATCCATGATAGGTACTTTACTGGTCTACTCATAGGACTATAGTAATGAACTTGAGAAGTGGTCTAAAAATTCTCTGCTTGGACACAGTGATTCAAAAACATAATTATAAAAGAAATACCTAGGTAGGTATAGTTCCTTGTATGCCAGTGCTAGGCCATGCAGCGTCATGTATGCTGGATTAATCCATGGAAAACAGCACAATCTAGTTGTGTGGAGTTGGGTGGGGGGGGGGGTGTTGGGAGGGGAAGGTAAGCAAGACTTGGTAATGTGGAACAGGGGACCGTGATTCAAGTGCTGAGGTGCTCTTCAATTTCAGGATGTGCGCTCCAATGTGGGTCGGCACCCTACAAAATGCCACAGGTAGGCAGTCATTAATAAGGCATATGTAAGGGCAACATGATGTGCATCATGTGCTCACTGCTGATGTGCTTAGTGACAATTTTAGTGGCAAACCAGGTTTTTTAAAATTTTTATATTGGTATTTCACTATACTAATCTAGACAAGGTTTCAAATCATTACAATCAATATCTTTAGAATTAAAACCTTAGACTGCACAGTCAGGGGTTACATAGTGGCTAACCAGAGAATTTTTAGAATCTGTTCACTTTTAATTTCCTCATTTAACGTCAACCGGGGCTACTCGGCACAGTTTTGAGTGTTTTTTGTTAATAACTTCTTACAATGAAACATTCCATAAACAAGTTTAGGCTCATTTTATAGCTCTTTGCGCGGGCTATCGAATGGCATGGTAAAAAAATTCCATATGCTATTCGTAAGGTGCCAGAAGCAAAAAAAAAAATAATGTGTCCCGAGTAACCCCATCGAACAGGGCTACTCGGGACACTGCCGCTGGATGTGGGAGCTTCTTCGAGTGGAGCGCCCCTTCTCACCGGGGTGTCTCTGCGCAGTGGCGGGACCCGTCGGAGGAAGCGTGCGACCTTCGACGGCCAAACTCCCCGACCTCAACCCCACCCCGGGCCCTGGCCCAGGGTACCTTGCGTCCTGCGCAGCGCCGGCGGGGGATTCGTCCCTCGTTTTTTCGACAGAGGGGTTCTATGTCCCGGCCATCGAATCCCTCTTACACTTACTCGCCGGGGACATCGAGTCCAATCCTGGACCCATCTACATCTGACCCACCTGCACTAGACGCATCAAACGTACTGTTGGCTCCGTTCGCTGCAACTCCTGCGGCAAGTGGGTCCACCTCCGGTGCACTACACTCCCTTCACTTACCCACTACACAAGCGACTTTAAATGCACCACTTGCCTATCCACAAACACTACCTCATCACAAACCTATACACCACAAGCACATCCCCTACCCCAGTCAACCCCACACTCAATACCACCACCACCCCTATCACCACCACAGCAACCCACACCGCCCCCACAGCCACCACCACCACCACTATCACCATCACCACCATGACCACCACCACCTCCTCCCCAACACCGTCCACA